TCATTTCAAACGGGCTGGATCCGGCCCACGGGCCGTAGTTTGCCCAGGGCTGCACTATACTATTTACTCATCTGTAAATTTAATGTGCACACAGTTTGGTCTTTGTCTAAATCATTGCTATGAATATTGCTCTTTGTTAAGGCATATAATGTATTGGAATGCCCTTTTTATCCCTAAACTATAATTCTAACTGTATCTTCAATCACTTATCCATTGCATCACACACCAAAACTCTGATGAGCAGGATTGGGAATAGGGCAGGGGAAGAAATAAGGATTTATACTTTTAAATGTTTATCGAGAGAATATAACCAAGTTTAATACATACATATGTATGGGAACCCCACATACATGAGAGAGTCAAAGACCCCACATGCAGGAGAGGTTGAAAATGCATAGAAAGGGGGATTGAAGTACCTAAGACTTCCTGAGTTAGAGATGAGGTAATAATGCATCTTGGGGGCTTCAACGGGTCGGGTCATTGCATGATGATAAGAAGAAAAGACATTTAGTAAATAGAAGTTTGCCCTGCAAAAGAAGTTATCTCTGATAATCTCTTATGGGCAAGGCCCTTAATTCAAGTTCTTCTAGGTCAGCGGTTCTCAACCTTCCTAATGCTGCGACCCTTTTATACAGTTCCTCATGTTGTGGTGACCCCCAATTTCATTGTTACAAATTGAACATAATTAAAGTATAGTGATTAATCACAAAAACAATATGTAATTATATATGTGTTTTCTGATGGTCTTAGGCGCCCCCTGTGAAAGGGTCGTTCGACCCCCAAAGGGGTTGTGACCCACAGGTTGAGAACCGCTGTTCTAGGTAGTTAAAGGGAGGGGCATAAGTTTCTCTTGAGCCTGCAGCTAAATTGCCTTTAGCTCAGAACAATCTGCATATCACAGAGACTGATCTTGGGGTACCTCATTCTGAACCCCCACAGTTCTAACCTCTGAATCTTCCCTGGAAGTTTCACATTCCAGAAGTTGGGCTGATAAACTTCTGTCATTAAACCAGTCTCAGTCTTGAGAAAAGTTCAAACAGTTGTTTCTCATTTCAGGAGGCAGTGATGTCAGTGGGCAAGGATTCATACTTTTTACTGCATATACTTTTGTATGATTGAATCATTTTTAATGAACATTTTTACTGGAAAAAAAACCACTGAGAAAACATCTTTCTTGTAAGGATTAATGTGTATGTTTCTTCTATGTGGAACATATCCAAATTCCCCAGCTAGATGTGATTTTTTTTTTAACCTTCTAAAATAGAGATTCTTAGCCTTTATGGTTCATAGACCCTCATGAGAATATGATGCTCCCTGAAAATGTACAAGCATGCACAAAATTTATTTTGCACATTTCATATTTCTGTGGTTCCCTCAACACCTTGTCAAGAATCTTTGTTATATCACTGAATAGTTTTATTATTACTCTGTCATGCTCTATTTTGTATGTATTTATCATAATCCTCCCACTAGTTTCTTGAGGTAGGGACTTTTTTCACATTCTATGCAGCATTGAGGATTGTGCCTTATATTAGACAGAAAGTGATTGAGTGTGTTATTTTTAAAGCCTTAATTGTTTATATTATATTTTTTATTGTTTTTAGAAAATCTTATTGAGCTCACTAATTTGGAGGATTGTTTTGCCTTTAGTGGAGGAAAAAAAACCCTTTCCTTTATCCTTAGGTTAAGTGCCTAGGACCTGCAAATTAACAGAAGAAAAGTATACAAATTTTATTTAATGTCAATATTTTAATTTTTATGTTCATGGAGGTCTTCATAGAAAAAAAATGACACAAAGAAGTAAATGTAGACACTGAGGCTTATATGTACCATTTTAACGAAGGATGATAATTTTGTGGAGAAGTGTCAGGACAAAGGAAAAGGGGTTTGGGTTTGTAAGGAGTGGTAATTTAAAGGAAGGTAAACATTTAAGGGAAACTCATGGAAGATAAGAGCTTTTTAGTGATATTTGTTTGTGTAGATCCATCCTTGTGCTGACTTTCTGTTTCCAGTGATAATGGCAGTTTTTCTTTCTGGCATGGGAGAGGGGAAGGAGAAAACCTTCACAACAGGAAAATTCTGTCTTTCTTTGATAGGGAAATGGCAGAGATCTCTTTCTGTGTTTTCTGTTTTTTTAATTGCCTTCAGATCAAAACAGTCTTTATGCCATAGTGACATATTTTGGGGTGGTCTATTCTGATCCCCTTAGGCTTTAAGAAATTCATCTGAATTTCTAATTTCAGAGAATTAAAGTGGTAATTTTTTGAGTACCTACCTTCAGAGAATGAAGTTTTTTCTCTAAGTCAGTGTGGCGGACAGGAGAATTGAACCTTATTCTTGGAAATAGCCAGCCAGGGCAACTTCTTTTAGGACCTAGATTTTTTTTCTATCCTAGTTCTGATCATATTTGTAGGCTACTTTTTTCCAGACTGAGTCCCAACCCTTCTCCTTTTCTGTTTGCCTGTTAAGATTCCTGAATGTATAATCTTTTTAAAAAATGACATTTGAATTTTTTGGTTTATTTAAAAAAAACTTGATATTCATATTCTCCCTTATTTAAAAAACAAAACTGTGTATATCCATATTCTTTCTTATTTAAAAAATAAAACAATGTATATCCATATTCTCCCTTTTTTAGGTCTCTGTCCTTTTCTTGGAGTGACTATTTTTAGAATGGAATATTTTTCTTAAGAAAAAATTAGATTCTTTTAGAAATTGAATGAGCTTTGATGAGATATCATCTAAAGTTTCTATGCCCCTCAGTATTTTGTCTGTAGTATTTTAGCTGCTAGTGATCTGATGTTTCTAATTGTGCATTTTGTGTGGTTGGAATGTGCCCTTTTTAAGAATATGTGGTGGTTAACAACTGGACTTATTCTAAAAAACATACTTAGTTTTCTAACATTAGAGCATTCTTTAAAATAACAGGCATAAAAGGAGATACTGATCTACTTAATGTTTGTAAAGAAAAAGTTTAGTAAGTTTATTCATTTATAAAATTTCATATTCAAAGACCAGAACTTTATCAAATTTTAGTTGTGGGTCTCTCAACTATCTATGAGTTTAATGCTTGCAATTTAAGGTTTCTATTTGTGTGGTTTGTCTTATAATGCCAAAGTAGACATCAAAATTCTCTGCTTTTCACATCTTGTTACCATTCCTTTCCATAATAAAATCAGTGATAAATATAAATAGCCAGCCTTAAAAACTTGATATAAAACAAGTTTTTCTGTACAGTTATATTTATTGTTGAAAGTATTACAGATGTCC